AATTCATGGGTTTGATGCAAGATGACAGTGCCTTGAGGCTCAGTTGCCTGGATAAAAATGATAGCATCTCATTGGTAGGATTTTTTTAAAAAATGTGATTAGGTTATTTATGGACAGTTTTTATGGCTTTCTTCTGGATGAAATAAATTTCGTAATGTATAGTTACACTTTTTTAGCCTCTCAAAGTCAGAATATTAAAAAGAATTCCAGAAAACTGAGCATATAGCTTACATGAATAAAATTCTAGCATTATTTTGGTGCCTGAAAGCTATAGAATCTTCTGTGTACTGGAAAAATTTTGTTCAAAGGTCTGGAGAATTGATACAATGTACTGTATGTTCTTGCAGAGGACGTGAGTTTGGTTCTGAGCACCCATGTTGGGCTATTCACAGTAGCCTATAATTCCATTTTCATGGGAGTCCAATGCCTCTGGCCTCTCTGGGCACCTGTACTTACATGTATCTACCTACCTACCTACCTACCTGCACACACACACACACACACACACACACACACACACACACACACACACTTAAAAACAATAAAGACAAATCTTTTAAAACATTTTTACACAAGTCAGCATGTTCTTGGAATCATATTCAAGAGGACGGAACCATATGAAACAATCCCCTAATTGAATTGAATAAAGTGTAGCTAATGCATATAATGCATGCAAATGAAATCAAATCAAAAAGAAATGGTTTCACAATGTGAACTGAAGTTACCCTAGTAAACCTGGTAAATGGTAAATACTGTTCATATTAATGGCTAGTAAGAGTGTCATTACTAAAATTCTGATGGGGGAGTGTTTTTTTGTGAGTGTCTAATACATAGTTCTAAACCTTTTTTGAGGAGACTGAAAAGATGGCTCAGCAGTTAAGAGTGTGCTTACTGCTCTTCCAGAGGATCCAGGTTTGATATCCAGCACCCAATCCTCTCCCTCACAATTTTCTGTTAACTTTCACTTCAGAGAATCCAAGTCCTTTGCTGGCTCCTGCAAGCACCCACACTTACATGACACACACATATTAAAAAATCCGCTTTGAGACTTTTTAGTTTTTGTGCTTTGAAGTTCTAGTGAATGTTAGTGCTCTGTGTGGGATACATCAAAAATAGGTTTGTAAACCATGACAGCTTAGGTTTTTGGTTTTGAGACAGGGTCTCCTAGGCAATCCTGAAACTTGAGCGCCTCCTGCCTCAGTTTCCCTAGTGCGGTATGCCCAGCGTGATGGCTGAGTTTTAAACCAAACACCAAAACAAAGTGATAACTGATGTGTAAATTTGTAACCAAGAAATAGTGTAGACCACATTGTTCTCAAGATGCAAAGACTTCAGAATTTATCAGAACGAGTGAGACACTCGGGGATTGTGGTATTACATTAATGACTGTTCACAGGCATGTCTAAGCCATGGTCAGGCTTATAAAGACTACCTAATCAGGATTCTGTGGGCAGCAGCCAACTGTAGATAATGTAGAAAATAATTTATTTGAAGTGGGTGGGACTCATGGTACCAAAGAGGAGCTGAAGAATCAGTCTTCTAAATTTTGAGCTCCAAATGGGTTTTATTTTTAAGCAAAGATGGCTCAAGGCCTTCTTTTTTTATCCTCCAGTGGATTGCATGAACTCTTTTTTTTTTTTTTAAAGATTTAATTTATTTATTATGTATACAGTGTTCTGCCTGCAGGCCAGAAGAGGGCACCAGATCTCATCATAGATGGTTGTGAGCCACCATGTGGTTGCTGGGAATTGAACTCAGGACCTCTAGAAGAGCAGTCAATGCTCTTAACCTCTGAGCCATCTCTCCAGCCCCAGCATGAACTCTTTAAATAGCCCATTGCTCCGAGAACTCCTCGGGTTATTGAAATGCCTTGGCATCAAGCATAGTCATTAATACTGAGTACAAAAGGAGAGTGGTGGTTCACTGTAAAAGGTATTATGGGAAGAGTGCTAGACAAACAAGAATGGCACATAGCCAGTGGATTGTGAGGTGCCACAGACAATGTGGTAAGTAAAAGGCAGTATAACAAGTGGGCATGCAGAGAATGAGAGGGGATTCCTGTGGGCAGGCTTGCAAGGACTGCTGCATGGATTCTTGTTAAGTTCTTTCATTTGGAGTGCTATGTACCATGTCTAGCTCTGCCTAGGTAAAATAGCTTAATTGTTAAAAGATTTTATGCTAGTGGGTATAAGAGAGCTGTGGAAAATGAAGTATAATACAGATTTTTATTTCCAGTGAGTACAAGCCCTTCCCTTTAACAGGGTAGAGGGCAGATCGTTTGCCTGTCCCTTCTAGTCCTGGTTGCACTGGACCTGTGCTGAAGCATTAAGTGAGGGAATTGATTGGTTTTAGCCAAGTCCCTACTCACCCATATATTGGCCTTTTGATCGTGTTTGTTTTGAGCTGGAAGGAGTTTGGGTTACACCTTCAGATGTTTGTGGTTCTCATTTGTTTTTAATTCTAAAAGGTAGGATACACAAGGTGTCTAGCCCCCTCTGCTGACATGCTCTTGACCAAATCCAAAGGAGGGGGCTTGTAGTCCAGCAGTTTGGTTTTAGAGGTGATGTGTTTCTAGATTCAGTTCATCCCAGCTAGTACACCATTGTCTGAATCTTGCCTGAATTCCGCTTGTCCTTGCATAAGTCATCTTTTTGGGAAAGCGCACAACTCCGTATACTATATCCACACTAGTCTACTTCCTGCACTAATACTGCCAAGATAAGGCTGAGTTTACCTCTGAAGGGCTTACTTTTCTCCAAATGAAGAGTTTTTTATCTAGTTTTTTTTTTTTTTAATCTACTCTGATTTGCTGGCATTATGATAAAAGTTTTTCCCCCTAGAACCTGGCTAAAATGTTCAAATTCTAGCAAGTTACCCATTTATTCTTGATAGTTTGACTAACATAGTATAACTCAAAATTATTATTTTAGAATGCATATTGTGAATTACTTGAATATCGTCTTCATTTGGTAACTGTGGCCTAGTAACAGTATTCCCCAAGGAGCTACATGGATGCTGGGGTTGCGAGAGATCAGTGGGTACTCCTTCAGCATCCTGTAAAGTCAGTTCTCTAACCTTGCTTATTAATAGGCAGTGGAGATTTGAGTCATTCAAAACTTGCTCAGTTCCTGTAAACCTTTAGGCATAAGAACAACCAACTTATCTTGTCTGATTCACTGATAGAAAGACAGTCTTGCTAGACTCAGATGCCTAATAGAAAAGTAGAAAATGAGGGAACAAAACTGCAGACTTGTGGGATTCCAAGTGTTGTGCAATATTGAAGATGTGTTACATTCTTTTATGCTGTAGAATATTTGTTTAATGATGCAAAAAATGTGTTGCATTCTTTTATGTTGCATTTGTTTAACTCTATAAAGTTGTGTTACTTTGCCTGTCTAAAACATCTGATTGGTCTAATAAAGAGCTGAATTGTCAATAGGGAAGACAAATATGTCAGGCTGCCAGGCAGAGAAAATAAATAGGAGAAAAGAGAAAGAGAGGACACTAGGGGCTAGCCCCCTCCCCAGCAACACAGCCAGCCACAGAGTAAGAAGGAAAGAAAGATATGTAGAAGAAAGATAAAAGCCCAGAGGCAAAAGGTAGACAGGATAAGTTAAGAAAAGCTGGTTAGAAACAAGCCAAGCTAAGGCCAGGCATTCATAAGAAAGAATGAGTTTCCATGTATTTATTAGGGAGCTGCAGGGTGGGCCGCCAAAGAGCAAAGAGTTAAAAAAAAAAAAAAAAAAAAAAGGAAAACCCAACTATAACCAAGATTTGTTTCTTGGGTTGGAAAGAAATACTAGGGTCTGATAAATATTGATGTAAGGCATAACAAAATGATTTATTTATGCCTTTCCAGGATATGTTCACACTTCTGAAGAGTGCCATGACCTCTCAGTACCTCTTACCTATTGATATATGTATGCATAGATTTCTTGGCCTCCTTAGTCCTGCTAATTAATAATAGAAGCCACCAAGTAAGATTTGGGGGGAAAACAAAGAGGAGCTATAAATGGTATCATTTATTTTCTTTTGAAAAAAAATTTTTTTTAAAGATTTATTTATTATGTGTACAGTATTCCTGCATGCCAGAAGAGGGTGCCAGATCTCATAGATGGTTGGGAGCCACCATGTGGTTGCTGGGTATTGAACTCAGGACCTCTGGAAGAACAGCCAGTGCTCTTAACTGCTGAGCCATCTCTCCAGCCCTCTTTTGAATTTTTTTTGACGCTGGATCCCTGTAGCTCAGGCTGGTCTCAAACTTGCTGTGTAGCCAAGGAAACATTGACCTTCTGATCCTCCTGCCTCCACCTCTCAAATGCTGGGATTGCAAGTATGTGTCACTGTGCCTTATTTATATAGTGCTGGGAATGGAACCCAGGCCTTCTTGAATGCTAGGCAAGTGGTCTACCAGCTGAGCTGCATCTCTAGCACCTAATGATAGCTTTGGGTTGGCTAACTCAACACTAACATTTGTGGTTAGGATCAGCAGAGAACAAAATGCATGACACCGTTAGAAATAAGTCAAGCCCCCAGGAAGAAGCAGCAGCTATGCACCTAAAGGCCACCAAGGGTGTGGGTGGAAATGTACTGCCTTAGGCACACAGAATACCAGCTGCTAAGGTTAGTGCAGTTACTGGGACTGCTGAAGGGGAAATGTATAGGTAATTCTTTTTAAACCTGTTGGTGAAGCTGGGGAGGTTCTGAAAATAAGATCCGTTCTTAGGAGAACAAGGACTTTGGCTTCATCACCTTAGATTGTCTTGCAGTGAAATTCTGGACAGAGGGTCATAAGCAACTCAGCCACCTCTGAAAAGCAAGTGCCCAGCTAAGGTTATGAGTCTTTTACATCTGAAGTTCAAGTTAGAAAATGACACGAACAAAGGCCAACCGCCTCTTAATAAAGCCCTAAAGAGAGTGGTTGCTGCTCTCAGTGTCAAGGCACCTCAGCAGCCATCGTGGCCAGCCAGTACTCAGCGTTACAAGACAAGAGGACTTGCTTGGTCTTCGAGAGGTTTATTGAAGTAAGAACAAGCATCAGTTGGACACTGAAACAGTTACACTGACTGCAGTACTAGAGCAGAAAGGCAGCTTTCTGTGTCTTTAAAAAATCACAAGTTTTATTCATTTGGGAAGGCACTACAACGTCATGTTACAGTGAATACATAGTTTTAAAGGCAGCAGTGAGTAGCTCTGATAGCAGTGAACACAGGCACTATGCAATCAACTCACTTTGCTGTGGTCATGGTATGTAACTTACTCTCAAAAGAGCTTTTGTTAGCGTTTTTAAAAATCTGGCAGTATGAAAAAAATCACAGCTTATCTTTTCAGTTTGTGGTCTTTTTCTTCTATATTCTCCTTGGCAACAATGAACCACACATAAAATACAAGAATTACCTCTTAGAAAATAAAACCATCAAAAGATGTTTCACAACAGGCACAGTCTGGAAACCTGTAATATTAAGAGTTTGGGATACCCTGAACCTTTCCGTTTCTAAAAAGGTCACTTTAGCATTCTCAAAGAGAACTTCGTTAAGTAGCTTCAAGGTATTAGAACCAGCTCCTGTGTTGTCTAATGTAGACAGGGACCTAGCTCAGGAGTGTGATGGGCTGGGCACTCTTGATTGTCAGTCGTATTTGGTAATGGCCATTGTGTGTATTACAGTGCTCAGCAGCTCTCAAAGCTTATGTATGGATCATCTCTGTGCACTCGAATGAGGTTTGGATTTTATCTTCTCTGTAGAAACCAACAGTTTTAGCTTCTGATTAATATGTGGGTTAGTTTTGGTTATAGTTGCAATCAAATAGGAGCCTCTCCAAGGTAACTATGGCCACAGCAAAGTGTGGGGAATGTAGTTTTCTACAATATTCACTGATGGAGAATTAGTCCCTGGGAGAAATTCTCATCAAAGCACACTACACTATTGAAAAGTGCCATTGTACTGAAGTTACTATTCATAGAAGGCCATTAGACCTTGGCTTCCTGCTAGACTATGTCATTTTCACAACAGAAGTAAGTTGCGTACTTCTTTAAGATTCACACCCTCACACATGTATTTCTTCCAGTTGCGTCTTCAACTCATACATTGGGTAGCAAGACTGTAGTCATGAGGTAAAAATCCTGTAGTGAGCCATATTTTCTTCAAGGTGGCAGTTGTTTTGGTTGGTTCTTTTGGGTCAAGTTGTACAGAAGAGGCTGTTTGTATGGTTTATTACTTCCAGTAAGTGACATTGGGATTCCAGCTTGGTAAAATTAAGCTGAAAGTATGCTTCTGTTTAGGCATGTCAACTAGACACATGGTCACATTTTTAAAGAAGTCTGACACATACCTGCTGGGATGGAGTAGAATACAACTGCTTCATTCTGGAATGTATAACAATATTGTTTTTACCTAAGATTTAGTCTCCAGTGTGACTTTCATATACATAATGAAGTTGGTTTTAAATTATAGGCACAACTTTTTACCTCATTACAAAATACTAACTTTAAAATTAATCATTGAGGAGCAATTGGATACAAAACATTTAATCACAGAAATAGAAAAAAATCATTAGTCAAAGAGCATTTCAGAGAGACTAGAACCATGGACACTTAGTTGATCTTCTCTAGAGACCTGTAATAATCTGTCAACACTTTCCATGCTTTGGGGGCCATGAAGCCATCTGGTGGGTCTTCTCCTTCCCGGGCGAGCTTCCTCATACGAGTTCCTGAGATGAAGTCAAACTCGTCATGCCTGTCACAGTACAACAGAGAACTCAGTGGAGGTAAGTTACAGCTGACCTAAAGATCTCTGGGATTAATTACAGGTTTTCTTGTAAATAGCTGCATGCTTTCAAATGGGCAGTTCTCTCAGTCTTCAGAATCTCACAGAACAAAAGAAGAATAAAGGCAGGTGTCTACTCAGTATTTCTTGCACACCTGCTCTTTCATATTCTAATGTCAGTGATTATCTTGTGTGAATTTAGTATGGGCATGAACTTAGCATAACTGCTCACTGAAATCTTTCTGTGATTTATGTCCTTTCACTTAAAATGTGAGGTGCTCACAGTGTATTCAGAAGCCATGTGTGGGAAGGAACAGTTTTGTTACTGTTTTAGAGTTTCATATAGCCTAGCCTGGCCTAAACCTTGATAGAGCCAAAGATAACCATACAACTTTGATCACTGCCCCTGCTTCCCTTGTGCTGTGATAAGAGGCATATGCCACTATTGCCAAGTTCAAGAACTTTTTGTGGGTGTGCTGGAGATCAAACCCAGTGTTGTGCACATGGCTAGGCAAGCGTTTTGTTAGTAAGCTACACCCATAGACCGAAGAGAAATATTTATGGACCAAGAACTACGTGTGGAGGACTCTCCTGTGATGTTGGGACACAGCATGTACAAGAGCAGGTCTTAACTCTCAAGGGAGTGTTTTTCCAACTGAGAGCATGTAGACTGGAGACTTCCAGAGGGTCAAAGTTTTGCCTCATCATGTCAATTGTCATGTCAATTAAAATTTTCTCTAGAAACTTACCTTGCTGGATCATAAAAGTCCATGGACTTTTTAGTTTTATTGTAAGCAGCCACTCGGAATGGAATGATTTCCACAGAGGTGAGACCAGGGGCCATACTCAAGACCTTGCCCCCGTGGGTAGGTTCATATAGGTCTTTCTTGGTCTCAGGGTGGGGCATTCCTGCTGGATCTCTGCCCACGATGTAGAAATTGGCCCCTGCAATCATCCGGCATCTGCAATGCCACTGGACCTGGAAAATATCATAGGAAACATAATGGTCATGGCCCCAAGTCCACATGTTCCTCTTTATGGCAGTTCCTTAATTTTGCTTCAAAGTGATTCAGAAAGGCAGGTCAACTAGAAGTAGCAATGAAGTCCTAAGCCTTGAGCACTTTTTAAGCTGGGTTGTATTGGCGGGACAGGAGCTTTGAAGTCAAGAGCTTTTCATCTCTCAGTAAAGCTAGCAGCCCAGGAATACTTACTGTTAGGACTGTGAGTTACACATTCTAGTCTTCAGAAAAACCAAAATTTAAGGAGTATTACAGATTCTAAGCCATCATCTGGCTGCCAGTAATGAACTAATTACCTTTCATATACAAGTGATGATTCCAGTTCAGTATAACACTTGCCATCTTTAAAGTTCTGGCAAAAATACAAAGGATGGGATGAGAGCTGTAGAAAAGTGTGGAACTCTGAAACAACTGAGGAGAATTCATTCATTAAACTCAGTTTGGGGCATTTGAAAGGGCTAATTATGATCCTTTCAGTCACAGTCCTGGAAATTTCCAAGTCCACTACGCAGGCGGTGCTGAGGGACCAAGAATCTGTGGTGAGCTCACTGCTGCTGCTGCTGCTGCTTTTTAGAGATACTTCTCCCCTCTAAGAAATTCCTGGGGCATGGTGAATCACAGAGTACTTAGAAATAAAAAATCTTTAGCTTGGTGTGGTGGTTTGAATGAGAAAGGTCCCCCTTAGTCTCAGGCATTTGAACACTTGGTCCCAGGTTGGTGCCATTGTTTGGGGGAGGTTTAGATGGCACAGCCTTGCTGGACAACTAGTGTGTCACTAGGGATGGACTTGGAGTTTAAAAAGCTCCACCTACTTCCAGTTTGTTCTCTGCTTCAATTCACGCTTGTGGTAAAGGATATAAGCTCCCTGCTCCCTGCTCCTGTCCCTCAGGCCTACCGCTTGCTGTCATGCTTCCCTGCTCTGCTAGCCTCATTCCCCTGGAACCATAAGCCCACATAGACTCAAGTTGCCTTAGCCGTGGTATTTTATCGCAGCAACAGAAAGATAACATGAGTAGATACTTCTTGTCCTGTGATTCCGGGTGAGCTGTGCTATCTACCTATCTCAAACGCGTGTTCTTCAAGCAATGTGTTTATGTGGGACTTGATGCTTCTAGCACCCTTACAAATACAGAATTGACAAAGTTAAGCTGGGATGGGGGAAAGAGTAACTTGAAGACTGTAGAATCTGCTCATTAAGAGTGGATCCCCAACATTTATTTAATTTTATAAAGTTTTAGGCTGTGTTCATAGTCTCTTGCCCAGCTCAGGGAATTGCTCACCTCTGTGGGGCCAGCATACAACATAGGAGATGGAAAGATGGCAACAACAGTTGATTTAGGGTCCAGGACTCCTTCCTCCAGTACAGCTGCATGTTGTTTCATCCTCCAGTTCAGGGGCACATCGTCATCCTTGGTCCAGCCCCCCAGAGGGTGGAGCAGGAGGACTGGGTGCTTGTAGCCCCTCTCCAGGAGCCTGCGGCGAGTGTCCTGCATCAGCAGAGCATGACCGTTGTGGACAGGATTGCGCAACTGGAATGCAAACACGGCATCTAGGAAGAAAGAGCCAAGGTTTGAAGTGAGCGGTGTTGCTTGTCCATAAGAATAGATGGGGAAAGATGAAGTGGTATATTGTTCAGTTCCCCCAGTCAGCTTTTGATAGTTGAGAATGTGTCTAAGCTGTTAGGGATGTTAATCAACACTATCAGCAGCGGACAAGATGGGATGCAGAGGCAGGAAGCCACACAAGAGAAAACATCACTCAGGGATTAAAACAGGTGCTGTCTACACTCTTCCTGAAACACCAATCCTCTTGTACCTGCTGCAGGCTCACCTTCATGAGAGCCTACATATAGAGCACATAGTACATGGAGACCACATTCTACAGATGAAAACCAACTGCACCTTCACCTTCAAGAAATCTTGAAAACAATTACACTTAGGGATGGATTCATGAAGTATTTTTTTCTAGTTCTAAGATGTAATTAATATATATCCTTTGCAGAAAACTTAGTAATTATATAAAAGCCTAAAATGAGAATTACTTCTCTCTCAAAATGTATAGAATGAAAAATGAAAAGGTTTCCTTTCTTGATCCACTGCCACCTCCAAGAATCAGGTAGTGTCACTGACAGTCTGGTGGTCCCAGAGTCCTTTGTGCCTCTATAGACAGAAGTAGGTTAGGTTTGTTTTTGTTGTTTTCAACTTTCTTGTTTTCCAAAGTGTGCCTATGCTATATATATAGTTTTGCAATTTGCTTTTGCACTTTAGGAATCATTCTGCATCTGCCTATTTTAGGCTGCTGCATAGTGTTCTGTATGTTAATGTAGCACAACTCTGATCTGAACAAACCAAAAGATGTTATCACACTAAAAAAAAAAAAAGAGCAGCTGGGCGGTGGTGGCGCAAACCTTTAGTCCCAGCACTTGGGTGGCAGAGGCAGGCAGATCTCAGTGAGTTCAAGGCCAGCCTGGTCTACAGAGTGAGTTCCCGGACAGCCAAGACTACACAGAGAAAGCCTGTCTTGAAAAACTAAAAACAAAGAAAAACCAAAAATAAGAAAAAAATTTAAAAAATTTGCTAGGCTGCAAAGATGACCCAAGTTTAAGAGTGTGTATTACTCTTTCAGAGGACTCAACTTTGATTCCCAGCATCTATGTCAGGCAGATCGCAAACTGCCCAGAACTCCATCTTCAGGGGAATCTGACCCCTCAGACACCCACACATACATGGCATACACCCACACAGACACCCCCCCCCCCACACACACACATACACCATTAAAAATAAAATACATCTTTTATTTTTTTAAATGCTGATTCAGCCGGGCATTGGTGGCGTATGCCTTTAATCCCAGCACTCGGGAGGCAGAGGCAGGAGGATCTCTGTGAGTTCGAGGCCAGCCTGGTCTCCAAAGCGAGTTCCAGGAAAGGCACAAAGCTACACAGATAAACCCTGTCTCGAAAAACAACAACTAACTAACTAAATAAATGCTGATTCAGTCAGGCATGGTGGCACATGCCTAAATCCCAGCACTTGGGGCACAGGTGTGATCAAGAGTTCAGGGTTACCACTGACTACATAATGAATTCAATGCCAGGCCCTATATATTAAAAAAAACAAAAACAAAAAAAAAAAACCACTCCTGATATACTTAAATTCTTATCTACAGTGCTAAGGAATATTGACAGATACACTAGAACCAGATTACATACCAGCATTCATGTCTTTCCACTTCTGTTTGAGCTCCAAAGGTGTCAGGCGGTATTGGTCCAGCCCATCATTCCACCTTATTCTCTCCAGCACCTGCAGGTCTCCACCAACGAGCCAGTCCCCACCTTCCATCACCATCTAGAAGGAAAATCATCGAGGTTAATAGTAACTATACTGATATTTTTATTTTATTTTAAGTGTGTGTATACATGTCTGTGTGTACAAGTGCCTGTATGTGTGGAGGCTAGAGGTCACAGTTGGGGGACTTCTTCAATAGCTCGTGACTGAATTTTTTGAGACAGGGTTTCTCACTGAACCTGTAGCTTGCAAATTTGGCTAGGTTGGCTGGCCAGTGAGTGCCCAGCAGCTGCCTGTCTTTGCCTCCCTGGCAGTGGAGTTCCTGCCTGTCTTTGCCTCCCTGGCAACTTGGATGTGGGTTCTGAGGTCATTAAGCTCGGGTCTTCATGCTTGTGCAGCAAGCTCTGTACTGGCTGAGCCTCCTCCCCAGGCTGCCTGTTTTTCTTTTTGGGCCATCTTGAGTTACACTTCTGCAATGTTCCTAACAGTATTTATCAAACTTGTAATCTCTGCACTTACTTGTCTTCACCAAAGTTGTGGGCAGGTCGTAGAGCAAGAGCATGATGGGCAAGGCCCTAGTGAGTCCCAGCAGCTCATTCCCACAACACAAAAGTTAGGGACCATTCCCCCAAAGCTTCTGCTCACATGGATTACATCCATCAGTTTCCATGTTAGAAATTACAACTGAGAAACTTCATCTGAAAGTAGTAATGATGCTATTGCATGTCAAGAATAAACTCTTCTCCACTCCTTCCCCAAACAGGAAGGCCAGCTTTACTTTGACCCATTTGCTACTCTGCTAAATAAACCTAACAGAAGACAGCCAGATCTTCAGAGCTGCTACATTTAATCTGAACCAGTGAGTCTTGGCTGAGCTATATAGGAAAACCTAACTGCAGGTACATAGCTGGAAGAAGGAAGGGGATTTGAATAGCATTTTTATGTGATTGTGGATATTCTTTGATACTAAAACATGTACTGGCTCCATCCCCCTCTTTTTGGACAGGATCTTACTGTGCAACCCAGACTTTCCCCAACTTGGGATTCTACTGCTTGCGCCTCCTGAATGATCATATTATAGGCATTTACTACCATGTTCGGCTTTTAAGCACTAGTTTTCCTTCGTGTGTGCATACACCTTCCTATACCGTATATGTATGGCGTGTGCATGCACGTAAAGTCCAGAGGTCAACATCAGCTGTCTTCCACAAGTTCTATAGCTATTTGTAAAAGTTTTACAAGTTGTGTATGTGCATGGTGTGTGTGTGTGTGTGTGTGTGTGTGTGTGTGTGTGTGTGTGTGTGTAAGTGTAAAACTTGCAGGCACCTGTTTCCTCCTACCATGTGGGTTCCAGGGATTGAATTCAAGTTGTTAGTCTTGGAGGCAAGTGTCTTTGCTCACTGAGTCATCTTGCTGTCTCTACCGTATTTTTGAGACAGTCTTTTTATTTAACATGGAGCATGTCAATTCAGCTAGAATGGCTGACCAGCAAGGCCCAGAGATGTTTCTGCCTCCACTTCCCCCATGCTGGGATTACAGGCAGGTTTGCCATGTCTGGCTTAAGTATATGGGTGCTAAGGATGGATCAAATTCAGGTCGTCTTGCTCAAATAGCAATTACTTTACCAACTGGACCATCTCTCCAGCCTTCTGGTGCTATTTTCTTAAAGGTAAATTACAGTGTAGAATCTGAAACTTTATGTGTTTTTCATACTCAGTTTTACTAAAACTCCATTGTTTTTTGAATGGTTCTTTTATCCAAGAATTACTGTATTATTATTATTTTATTACTATTATTATTTTTACCATAACATTCTGGAACTAGAAACTGCTGGTTTTTTTGTTTGTTTGTTTTTCGAGACAGGGTTTCTCTGTGTAGCTTTGCGCCTTTCCTGGAACTCGCTTTGGAGACCAGGCTGGCCTCGAACTCATGTCTGTCTGGCTCTGCCTCCCGAGTGCTGGGATTAAAGGTGTGCACCACTACCACCCAGCCGAAACTGCTGGTTTTTATGAGTTTGTCAGTCTTCAAAAGCTGACATTGTATTTTAGGATTTTAAACACACACACACACACACACACACACACAAACACGCATGCACGCGCATTTGTGAGCATCACTGATAGTCTCAGAAGAAAATCTTCTAAGTATGAACTTGCTGCCACACTCACAGTGATAAATAAAATATTTTTGTGTGAAACCTCAAGGTTAATCATCAGCAACTAGTAAGTATTCCTCCTTGTTTTTCTTGAAGTGATTTTGTTCATTTGGAAAAAAAAAAAAACTTGCTAAATATCCAAGTCTGAAGACATGCATTTGTAAACGCACATTCTTGACACCAGGGTTGCGATGGTATTTCAATAGCTGTTTTTCCCCAAACTCAAACAATTTGACAAGCTCTTTTTCTCACACCTGCCATCAAGGATTGGTGTGTATAGCAGAAGTGGCTTGTCTACTTCCCTGTTTGGAGTAAGTTATGAATATAACACCAACTCAAAGGTCATCTTGCCAGCATCATAAAGAGCATCCACCCTTCAGGGAAGCTGGCAGTTTCTTCGTACAGCTGTCGTAACTGCGCGAGGCACCAACGGTTTGCCCCACTATTGCTTTGCACCAGCCATGCCAATAACAACCCAGGAAAACAGGCTAACACTGTTACATGGTTCTACACTTGGGAGTTCTCCAGCTAGGTCATGAGTACTGCTAGGGTTCAAAGAACCGTGCTTTGAGAACCTCTGCTGGCACATTCCTAATATTGTCTAATACGTTTTATGCTGTTCTCAATAAAACTCCAAAGTAGGTGCCTTGGAGGAAAAGTTTTTTTTCTACCATGTAATTATTATTTAGCATAATTTCCATGGAAATCACCACAGATGCAGCCTCCTTCATTTATACGCACTTTAAAGATAAAAGAAAATCCATTGAGCATCAAAGTGTAGCAAAATCCAGGTATATAGTGCAAAACAGACAGTTAGCTAAAACCCAATTTTCTCAAAAGGCCTCTGACAAGGATGCCAAGACTACTCTCTAGGGAAAAGGACAGCCTGTTGACAAATATATGGAGGAAATTATATACCCACATGCAAAAGGATGAAATGGACCTGTATGCTATGTGCAAAAATTAAAATGGATTAACTGCACACATAGAAGAAAACCCCAGATTATAAAATGCTTAAGAAAATAAAGGGAACAAGGCTTCATAACGTTGGGGTTGGCAGTGATCGCTTGGCTGTAGCACCAAAAGCACAGACTACTAAAGCAAGAACAGAAGCTGGCACTGCCCTGAACTGAAAACTTTCTCTGAACTAAAAGACAGTCAACAGGGTGAGAAGGGAATCTGTACAGAGAATGACTATTCCAAATCATACGACATCATAGGGAACTAGTCCTACAACTTGAGTGTAGTGGTATATGCCTGTAACACTAGCCCTCGGGGCTGAGGCAAGGGATTATGAGTTTGAGCGCAGCCTGGGCTACACAGTATGATCATGTTTCATAACAAGAACAGAAAACTCTTCCAAAACAATGATAAGTAAAATAACTCACAATTAAAATGGCAGAGCTAGTGAGACAGCTCTGTGTGTGAAGGTACCAATTCAAGTACGATGAGTTCGATCCCTGGGACCTACCTTGTAGAAGGAGAGAATCATCTCCCAACAAGTTGTTCTCTGAGGGTCACACACTCACGCACTTCCCCTCAAGAACATGCACAAATATCATTGAAAAAAAAAAGACTGAACACAAAACTTGAGTAGACATATCTTTAAATATGGTCTGTAAATGGGCAAAGCATGTGAATAGCCCACTACTACCACCAAGTAAGACAAATGAAATCTGAATGAGAAAAGGTGGCATACCCATTAGGATGGCCGTTATTAAACAGACTCAGCAATATGTATTGATGAGGATGGAGAGGAATTGGAAAGAACCTTTATGCACTGGGCTCCAAAACAATGAAGCTACTATGGAAAACAGTATGAAGTTTCATTTCAAAATGAAACAAAACTTACAACCTTTTGCTCCAGCAGTCCTACTCCTTGAAGAGAGATTTGCACATCCAAATCTCTAATTGTTCATAGCAATCCAAATGTCCACCAGTGGATAAATGGATATATAAAAGATAAATACAGCATGGGACACCAGTCAGCCTTTAATGTGAAAGAAGTCTTGCCCAGAGCTTCCACATAGATAATCCTCAGAAAGTAGGACAGTCACAAAAAGACAATCACAACACAGAAACCCCGAGGACGGGGAAAGTGCAGTAAGTCACAAAAAGACAGATTATGTATGATTTCATCCGTCCAAGGACAAAATGGATACCTACAATGTTGATACAGTAGAGGAAGCAAGAGTGACTGAGAAGGCTGACTCAAAACACCTAGCAGGAAGAAGAAGCTGGCACAATGGGTGGCCCTGGCTAGCTTCCCCATGACAGCCAGGTACTGAGGTTTACAATGACTGCATCCCAGAGGGATTCAGAGAATGGAAGGTTAGGCTAGTGTGATTTTGTCACATTTGATATCTCCAGTTAATTTTCTTGTCACAAGTGGGGTAGAAAGGGTGTGCTACAATTAGAATCCAGTGCAACCAAAGGATGCAACTGGCCATGCTGGTGGGACAGAACAGCCTTCACAACAACAACAACAACCAAGACATCTGGTGGCGAGTTTGAGAAACTGTGGTGGTAATTGTGCAATGGATTTGGCTCTGTTTTCGTGGCCTCCTTTCTAAACTCTGTCCTCAGGCAAACCATTGCATACTCATATTTTCAGATATTAGTACATGACTTTGTCCTCACTACTTAGAATTTTGAAAGAGTTGACCCAGTCTCCACAAGTTCCATAGCACTTGGAACTCCATGGGTCAACTCTACACTGGACATTGGTGACAACAGCACTGAAATGACTTTCTTTGCCACCCAGAGCAGAACCAAGTCTGTGAAGAGCGATGCTGAAACTACCCTTTTGGTATTCTGGAGTGAGGGGGATGACTCTCCAAAGGTCCTCTGGTCTAAGGTGCTCTGACTATCCCTAGAACTGTGTCCAGCTCTCAGGAAGGAAAGTTCAGTCCTTACGATGGCTTAGAATTACCAACTCCCTTCCAAGCTATTTGACAAAGGCTTAAAGGGACTTGAAGATCATGCAAGTGTGATCTCATAGCTTTCAGTTAAGAAGGCCGTTTTACATAAGGAAGTGGCAGAGACCAGGTGCACATGGCTATTGTGCCAAAGTCAGAACCCAAATCTGGAACTTAAGCAAACCAAGCTTTCTTTCCCACCACATCCACTGGCTGGCTCATCAGTGGCCCCCAGGCTGGTATTTCAGCATCACCCTCAGTTAATGCCTGTTACAGGTGTGGACAGTCCACATTGTTCTGGGAGGTCACAGAAGGCCGGTGAGTCATACCTATGAGTCAGGGGAGATAGGGCTGACTTCAGAAAGGAGGAAATAAGGTGAAGATGAGGGAGAAGAAATGAGCATGAGGTAAGAGCAGCTCTGAAGTGTCTGGAGGAGAAATGTATGGGTGCTAGTGGTACAGGCTAAAAGGTAAACCTTTGCAAAGGGGATCCCACATAAAGGTTGAACAGTTCACTTTGGCTGAAGAATAGACAAGGGGTTAGAGGCTTGTAAAGCAGGAAACAGAGAGGATGTGAAATCTGGCCCAAACTGGAACAGGAGTGAATAAACGTATTTGAGTAATGCTTGGAAGGAAGAGCTGTCGGAACTTGTTAATTGAATAGGAAAGGGAAGGAGAAAGAGCAAGAATGGTATGTAGGTTTTGTTTATGGGTTTAGCGCATGCATATGGAACTGCCAGGTAGGAGACGTGAGGAAGAGTGAGTTTGAGGGGAGGTTGGCATGTTGAGTTCGAAGCACTTTCAGGACATATCTAGATAAAGCTCTCAACAGCTGTGTAACTGAGTGGTTCTTAACCATCAGAGCATGAACAAATCACAGGCAGCTTCAAACTCCCAAGGACCAGCCTGGCCCAATGCCAATCCAGCCAGAATCCATGAGACCTGCTCTGCGTTATTTGAGGCAGGGTATTGTTGTGTAACCCATGGTGGCCATAAACTTGGGATCCTTGTGCTGCAGCCTCCCTGGTCCTGGTATTGCAGGTGTGAACCATCATGATTGGCATAATCTGTATAAATTTTATGGTTTCTCTTGTGATCCCATTGATCTTGCTGTCCATCTGGTCTTTATGTGGACACAAGGGCTACAAAAATCTCTGTTCCTGCCTTTCATTGGGAAGACATATGTTGTTCTCTTGATTTCTTCATCTTTAAAATTAGAGTAATAATTTTTACTTACTTTACAAGAGAATTAATTTGGTAAGAGAGTGCCATGGATAAAAGATGGTGGGTTTCCTCCAAGCATTATTTCCACACATGTTAGTTGTTCCTCAAATGACTCTGAGATTATACCATATTGTTCCATACTTGGTGACTCAAAGAAACTTCTTGAGTAGAAGGGTCATGTGGTTGTTTGAATAGGAATGGCCCCTCTAAGCTCATATATTTGAATGTTTGATCATTAGGGAGTGGTGCTACTTGACAGGGAGTAGGAGGTGTGGCCTTGTTGGAGTAGGTGTGGCCTTGTTGGAGTAGGTGTGGCCTTGTTGGAGTAGAAGTGTACCTCTGGGGATGCGCTTTACAGTTTCAAAAGCTCAAGCCAGCCCACTATCTCTCTCTTCCTGCTGCCTGCAGATCCAAATATAGAACGCTCAAGGATCCAAACGCAGAACTCTCAACTTTTCCAGCACCATATCTGCCTGCATATTGTCATGTTCCCCACCATAATGACAATGGACTAAACTTCTGAAACTATAGGCAAGCCACAATTAAATTCTTTCCTTTATAAGAGTTGCTCTGGTCATGGTGTCCCTTCACAGCAATAGAACTCTTAAGACAGTTCAGAAATACTCATAGGTAAGGAGTTGTGGAACAGAAGCAGGTCATTTCCCTGGCGACTGATCATTCTCTGCAAACATTTTCAGTTCCATTTGAAAATGCAAGGGCCACAGTTACTTTTGTGAATAAAACTGTTAGAAGAGTGTTTGCTTAAAAAAAATTGTGTTAAAGTGTTGGTGTGAGTTTCAGGGTGTTAAAAATAAAGAGTTCTTTACCCAATAGAATCCACATGTTGTGTTTTTGCCAAATATACCTTTAGGAAACTCAAGTGTAATATATATGGGGTGAATGCTTTCTCCATGGTTATCTAGGACCTATTTCTTACCATTAGTTCTTCTAATGGCCAATAGTGTAGAGTCACTAACAATATTGGCAAAGATACAGGTCATACTACCACTCTCCCTGGCTTCTAAGAAACTGACTGCAACTGCTGATATATTGCAAGATGAGATGAAAAGAAATAGTCACTCAGGTTCCCCTAGGCGTTATCAGAGGTTAGTTTTATGTCTTTAGTGTAAGTCATGTGGATGTTAAGATGCTAGTCCCAAAGAGGAGAAATCTTTGAGCAGAGATAATGATAGGCCGTTATTCTTTGGGTCACTGAAAAAAAGATAAGGTCCCAAACCTCTGTGATTACAATCATAAAAGAAATGGTCAGAGATATAATTGAAGGCCAGAACGTAGTATTCCTGGAGCAACTATCTCAAAGACCTTCTGCCAGACTTGGGGGTGGGGTGGGGAGGGAAAGGGAAAACTGCCCAGACGACATTGACCTAGCTATGCATAAAGGCAAGAGACATTTATCTCGAAGGCTGATGGTTGTGTCCAATAAGTAGAAAAGCTGCTTCTCTTGCTCCCTGAGCTCTTCTGTTCAGATTAAGAAGGCTCCAAAGGCTGCTAACTGGGCCTTGAGAATGTCTTTCCTATCTTGTAGCATTTCACAATGGAAATTTTTTTCTGCAAGGTCAAGGTCTGGAAAAGCTGTTCAACATATTTTGGCCTCATCTTTTTGTCAAAAGGGAAATGAAGGACAATCTACTTGGTCTGTCACAAGGTCCTTGAGAGCCTCTTGGGCTTGGTTGCTCATGATATTTCCTGTGAGCTTGAAAGTTAACCAAGCTGGGAAATTGAAGAAGTCAAGTTAGATTAGTAATGTCTCTCTTCACTTCTGCCCATATGCCTGTGTCTTGGATAAAGAATGGATTTGCATTCAGATTCACAGAATTTTGTAGGAAATGGGCTATATCCAGTTACTCTCCTTAATACCTCCTCACTCCCACTTCCTAACCAACTGCAGTTAGAAGTGGCTGAGGAATCTGATTTGCCTGTAGGGAGGAGAGTACTGAATGACCCCAGTCAGATGAACAGCTGCTGATGAGAATGTAGTATCTTTCTTCTCGGAACTTCGGCACTATGTGTACTGATTTTTGTTTATGGAAAGATGCCATTGACCCCTCACTGGCCACAGAACATGAACTCTGAGTTGTTTTCAGGAGTTGGTTGGGTCCATTACATGTGTTCCTTATGCACTTTCAACATGAACAGGGCTGCAAGCTCTAGTTATGATTTTGTGCATAGTTTTAGCTATGAATTTGATCCTTTACTCATGGTCCAAGACTATTATTTGCCTCTTTAGCTAAGGATGCTTCAGTCACAGGATACAATAACTTAGGAGCTCAAGACCAGCTTTCAAAAAAAAAAACCAACCTTTTTTTTTTTTGGACAGAGTCATCTGTAACCAAGCCTAGCCTCAAACTAGCTATTTAACTGAGGCTAACCTCTGATCTTGCCTCTCCCTCCCTAGTGTTGGGATTCATAGGCTTGACCCATCATACCAGGCTTCAGAAAAATATTTCTTTACTCAAACATGAATTTGGGGAGATGGTTCAGGCAGTAAAGGTCTTGCCGAATAAAGGTGAGGAAGGACTTGAGTTTGGATCCCCAGCATGCACGTAAAAAGTTGGGTGCAATAGCACATCCTTGTAATCCTATCCCTGGGAGACAGAGTCAGGCAGATCCCGGAGTTTGATGGCCAGCTAGCTTAACCAAACTGGTGAGCTCCAGGTTCAGTGAGAGACACTACCCTATGTCAATCTCTAGCCTCCACATGCATGTACACTCTCATGCACATACATGAACATATATACCACATATGTACACATTCCAAAAATAAAAATAAGAATGTCCATTTGGCGAGATGGTTCAGCTAGTAAAATGCTTGCCTCATAAATGGGAGGACCTGAATTCTGGCTCCCAGAACCCAGATAAAAAGCCAGGTGTAGTGGCATGTACCTATAGTCTCAGTGATGACGAGATGAAAGACAGTGACAGGAAGACTGGGAAGCTTGCTGGCAAGCTAGTCTAGCCTGCCCGGCAAAGTTCCAGGTCAGCAAGAGACCCATCTCAAACAGAACGTTGAAGGCTTGCACCCTGAGAAATGACACCATGTCATTTGTCCTCTGATTTCTGACATGTACAGTTGTACACATACACACACAAGTGTACCACCACAAACCTACACACACACACACCCCTTTTCAAAAGTCCTCCCAAGGACTTTGTACTTACTTTGATATGGGGGTGCTTTGCAGTGGCTGTTCCCCACACACGGGAACAACGCTCTTCTTTCCTGTGCTCATAGAATTCAGGATCTTGTAGTATAGCCACCCTCTGACCTTCATACATCAGGGCGAACTTGCTGTGCCCTTCAAGCCGTGCCTTGTCATCCGCAGAAACAGGCAGCACGATGGGAACACTCATGTTGATGACTCCATCTATGGAAAGACCCACGTGATGCATGAGTGCCAGATCCAGGGTGAGCATCCTTCAGGGGTGGCTAAAATGTGTACAGTCCTCCTTCCAAAGGTTCTGCTGGGGCATCAGGACCCAAATCCAGCACAGACATGCTGCTCCTCTGGTTTCTCTAAGACTGTGAGGGGAACTCCTTGCCCGATTCCTGAGGTGGGTTGCCTCAGTAAGTGATCTAGCTTTGGGGGCAGGATGGAGATATCTCATCTGGCCTTGCCCTTTTAAAATCTTGGTCCTGACCCTACTGCACTATGAAGAGTAAAGTCTTTGTTGTTTTAAAGTTTGTTTGTTTGTTTATTTATTTATTTATTTATTGAGAGTGAGCATGTGGGTGCAACCAGAGACTAGAAGAGGGCTTTCAGATCCTCTGGAGCTAGAGTTTTAAGCAGTTGTGAGCCCCTTAACATGGATGCTTGGAACTGAACTTGGGTCCTCTGGAAGAGCAGCAAGTAGTCTTATACCACTGAGCCAGCTCCCCAGCCTAATGTTTTAGTCTTTAAAAAACCAAATAAAGATTGGCCAAACTGAAAACTTTTCTTTTTCTTCTAAATGAACCTGTGTCAATGTTGGGCATTACCCACATAATGGAACTGAAAGGTTAAGAACAGCAACAACAAAAAGTCACTGCATTCACACCCCAGAAAAGCAAGCCCTTGATAGTCACTCTGTGTCCAGATGCAACTCTGTCTTCAAATGTTTTAAGAGACTGTTAATCTCACTTACCTGGGATCACAGTCTTGCTGGCTCAGCTGCAATTAAAACCATCACTCAAAACACATGGGCATAGGGCCTGGAGAGCTGCACCATGGTTAAGAGAGCTGCACCATGGTTAAGAGATCTTGCTGCTTTTGCAGAGGAAATGGACTTGGTTCCCAGCACCCAACAAGAGCTGCCAGCCCGCTCTAACTCCAATTCCAGAGGATCAGATGCCCTCTTGTGGCGTCCATAGGCATTGCATGCATGTGGTGTACAGACATAAATTTAGTCAAAACACCCATACATATGTAATAAAAATAAATAAATCTTTAAAAAGAACATGGGAGTGAAAAATGGCACAAAGCCACTTACTAAACTTTACTAAACTTGGGCACTTTCTCTAAAGAGTAAAACCATCTCACCTCTGCTGAGACGCTAAAAGAAATTTAAAGGAAGTTGGCCATTCTAATTCCTCTGTATGTGACACAGAGGATATAAGATTGGCAGTTCAAAGATGCTTGTAACAGGTCAGCAGCTTGATGAAAGGAAAACTTGTGAACACCAGATACAGGAGCTGGCAGTTAACTTTGTGTCTCTGTGTGGCTGGACCACAGTACCCAGACATTTGAGCAAATATTCTCAGTGTTTCTGTGAATTTTACTATTAGATAAGCCTGACATTTAAATTAGTGAGTCCTGGATAAAGAGAATCATCCTCCATAAGGTGAGTGGGTCTCATGTGATGAATGAAAGGCTTGTGGAAAGGAGACCCACTTCCCCAGAAGAGGCAATTCAGGTAGCAGAATGACTGAGCTGAAACTGCGTCCCTCCCTCTGAGTCTCCAGCCTGCAGGCTGACCTTTGGATTTCCAACTTGCTAGGCTCCACAATCACATGAGCCAATTAAAACCAATGCACACACACACACACACACATACACACACACACACACACGCACACGCACGCACGCATGTGCACACACACATGCACTATTGGTTCTGTTTCTCTGGAGAACACAGATAAGTAGACATATTTTAAAAAATGTAGGGTGCTGCAGGAATGCCTTAGCAATTGAGAACACCTGCTCTTGCAGAAGACCCTTTTTAGGTCGTACACAACCACTTATAACTCCAGCTCCAGGGTGATCAGATGCCTCTGGCCTCTGTGAGTACCTGTACTTGTGTGCATATACTCATACACAGACAAATAATTTAAAATAAGCTTATAAAATGCAAATTCATAGAAGTATGTCACTATGGAAATAAAAACTCCGCAGGTATCTCACAAGTTTCCTGATAAGGGTTGTGTGTGTGTGTGTGTGTGTGTGTTTCGGTGAAATTAGAGATTTAACACAAGGCCTTTTACATGCTAGGCAAGCAGGTACCTCTGAGGTACATCTCTAACAGTTTCTATATGTGTGTGAGTGAATAAGAGGCTTTAAACACTGTGAGGTTTATTTTGTTGTTGTTATTTTGTTTCTGAGATAGCCCAGGCTGCCCTAGAACTAAGGGACGAGGATGACCTTGCACTACTGATAGATCTCCCCAAATACTGGAACCACAGGCCTGGACCACCAGGCCCAACTAAGGCTTTGTTGTTATTTAGTATGAACGTAACCAGGTGTAGTCACCATGCCTGTAATCCCAGAACTTGGGAGGCAGAGATAGGATAGCAGGACTTCAGGGGAATCCTGGCCTGTAATAGTGAGTTTGAGGCTAGCCTGGGCTATCTGAGACTCTGTCTCAAACCCACCTGCCACCTCCCAAACATAAGTATGAACATTTTGAAGAATTTTTAGATAGAATGGTTAAAAAGATGTAGTTGCTTTCCAATTTGAAGCTTAAAAGTTTAAAAACAGGCCGGGCGGTGGTGGCGCACACCTTTAATCCCAGCACTCGGGAGGCAGAGCCAGGCGGATCTCTGTGAGTTCGAGGCCAGCCTGGGCTACCAAGTGAGTTCCAGGAAAGGCGCAAAGCTACACAGAGAAACCCTGTCTCGAAAAACAAAAAACAAAAACAAAAAAAGTTTAAAAACAGACTCTCATTTCTTAATGGTGGCAGATAGTGTGAAAAAATCTAAGGCTATGACCCCTTTCATTTCCCTTTTGTAAGCATGCTCAATGTTCTAATTAGTCTGTCTTTCTCAGCTGTACTTCCAGTTATAAACGAGGACTCTGGTTCATTTAACACCAAAGACTCAGCATTAGGTCGCAGTTTGGGAGTGAACAGAGGATGATCAAAGAGGAAAGCCTCGGGGGCAGGGACTACTCTTGCTTTATTTGTGGGTATGAGAAAATGTATGTTAGCTGAGTCCTGAAATGTCAAGTCCACTTAGAATGCTTCTGACCTGTAAAGATCTGAGTCCTTTTCCTGTGGGACATAAAACTGCCTAATGGCTGTGAACCCAGTTGCAGGCATATCACTCTGTCCTCTTTAAGGCTCTCAAGTTAGTAATCCCTAAAAGAATGTCACAGGCCAGACAGCAACTGCCAGCAATAAAGACATCCAGTCTGCCATGAAAGCCTGCGGTGTACAGTAGATGCCTTTAAAGACTGTAAAGTGGATGCCATGCAGGAAGATTTTGTTGTTAAAGTAACTCCTGTTTTAAAGTTCACTAGAAGCCAGAGCACCCAGTCTCTGCAGAGAGAACACCAAACTCAAAGTGAGGAGTTCTTGAAAGATGAGTTAGCAGTGTGCCCCTCCCCAGGTTTTGGGGGGAACACACTATAAAGTACAGCATTAACAGAAGTCTGTGATGAACCACAACTAAACCTAACAAGAAAGGGGAGGTTAACCAAGAGCAACACCTTCAGGGATGCTCTAGTTCTAAAGAGAAATCATGCTGTCTGGTGCATACTGACCACTCCACTGAGAGTCCATGATGCTCAGTTCTGCTTACAGAGACTTGAATAAACCGAAGTAAAGCAGACTGCAAAGCAAAGGTCAAAGGGAGCGTTAGGAAGCCCAGCCCTGCCTGCAGCATGCTGGTAACGCTGACATCCCAAGGAGACTCTGTTTCCCAATCAGGATAAAGGACTCACCTGTGGGACCACATGGACAGGAGTCCTACTGAGTAATAATACCCACTGCTCCAATATGCCTGGGGCTGCAGCTCTATATAGGCATGGGTATGTTTAATTTGGTTCCTATTATCTTTCTCTACTCTTGGGTTTTTGTTTGTTTTGGCAGGAGTGGGGGCTGAACTCAGGGCTTCAGGCATGGGAGGCAAGTGCTCTACCACTTAACTACAGTCCCAGCCCTTTTCTCAACTTTGCTTTAGAAGGTTTATTTTTATTTTTAAATTATATGTATCTGTGTGTTGGTATGGGCAGGTGAGTGCAAGTGTCCATGGTAGCAAGAGGCACTGGATCCCCCTGCAGCTGGAGTTACTGATGGTTGTGAGCTGCCCAACATGGGTGCTGGGAATCAAGCTCCCACCCTCTGCAAGAGCAGCACATGCTTTTAACCTGCGTTATATGGACAGCCCCTTTTCTACAAAAAAAAAAAAAAGAAAAGAAAAAGATTTATTTATTTTATGTGTGTGGGTGCTTTGCTTGCATATGTGTCTGTGTACCATGTGTGTGCAGTGCCCAAGGAGGCTAGATGAGGATGTCAGGTTCTCTGGAACTGGAGTTACAATTGGTTAGCTCCCATATGGAATGCTGGGATCCAAACCTGGGTCCTCTGCAAGAGCAATAAGTGCTCTTAACCACTGAGCCTCCAGCCCCTCTAGTTTTTTGATACATAAACATATCCAACAGTTGAACTGTGCTGAGCATCCTCTGTGGCCTCAAATATTCCTTGAGCCCTTGGCCTTTCCCTTCATGTGTTCCAGCTCTGTGGAGAGTTGCCTTATTTCATTATGCTTTATCTCATTTTGGAAGAGTACTGTTGTTTTTAACCATAGTACATCCAACAGATAATTTCCTGTCTAACTGAATAATTCTTCTTTTGCTTTAAACAGTTATAGTCCTTTTCTCTTTAGCATTGTAGATCTGTTTATTGGCTGCACAGACTTTTTCTTTCCAAAAAGTGAAATTAACCTTATTAAATAATTAGGCTTTTTAAAGGAAAAAAAAAGATAAAAATAACATCAGAGATAAATGATATGTTTGGAATTTTACATCATTCTGGTACAATGTAGAAATTTATAGTCCTGGTAAGTGTATATTTATTTTCACTTCTGTAACTATCAATTATGATAGCTTGCAATTAAGTCCATGCACAATCATACATTGCAAACAAACAAGGAATGATCATACACAGTCCAACCAGATATATTTACTTTAAATTGAATCTAAAATGAATTTCTTCATTGACTAAAAATGTTTTGTGTGAAAGAAAAATTTAATTTCAAATTTCTGAGACTAAAAGAGGACCAGAAGTCATTAGATGATCATAAATTTAAGAGAACTTGGGAACAAAATGTGCAATGATAATTTAGAAACAAAGTTTGCTTATGTTAGCCAAACTCAACATTACAAATAATAGTTTCATCTGATCCAGAAATTTCCTGTCGTTTGTACTTGAATAAACAGAACAGTGTGGTATGATTTTACTATAACTGGTTGGATTATGAACCGAACAATTCCAACTGGTTAATTTGGATTTTTAAAAATTATATCCTTAAAATTTTTTTAAATTAATGTAACATATCTAATTATAATAATTATCTACTTGGAAGGTGTAGTACATACCACGGAGGGCCACGCCTAGAGAAATACAAACATAAAAAACATGTTTTCAGGTCTCCACCGTGAGAGTCTTGAAGTAACAATATCAAGGAACAAATTCCTATTATGGCACTTTACATATTCAACATGCAGATATTCTCAGCTCCTTCTTGTGCTATTTTAAAAAATAGGCACAGGACACCAAACATACGGTAATACCATTTTTGTGGGCTATTGTTCAATGCACTCTAAAAACATTGTTCAAAGGATTATCTATTTGAAATAATTATAAGACATGTTAGTCTCTCTTTTAATTTCAGCAAGACTGACAAATGGTTTCCAAACCAGACTTTGGGAGAGTCTGGACACAAACAGTCTTAGAATGTAGAAGCTCAGATGCTTAAAGGACCTGATGGCGTGCCTAGGAAAATAAACACAGTGTTGGAATCATCAGAACCTAGATTTGAATGCAAATTCAAGTGAAATTTCTGCCCTTTTAACACTTACCACCTCATGAAGATGAAAAATCTTCATGCAGGCTAAATGGAGTAACCTCACCAAATATATGTGGGGACCCTCATCCCTGCTGGAAGGTTCTCGACGAAGATTTTAAATAATGGAGTTGTCTTCATCCCACTCAGCAGCTATAGGCCAACGTCTGTGACATTTATGCTAGGAGGGTCTGCGACAACCCTGAAACTACATTTTCAGTGAGGGATAAAGAGACCGAAGACACTGATGTGAAAGCAGTAACTCACAGATACCATAAACATGAACAAATGGTTGCTGGGGGGGGGGCTGGGGGAGCTGGGGGGCATTGTTCAGTTTTGGTTCTATACTAAATAGACTGATTACATTTTTAAACTCAGGGTAAAATGTGAACCTTTCAGGAAATTAAAGCTAACAAAATGCTTTATAGGAGTCAGGGTGAGAATGAAATCTGTTGCTTTTAGGTTGTAGGTAACCAAAAGATTTACAGTTTGATGGTAAAAAGATAGGTGGTTGTGGTTATGCGAAACATTTCGGTGTCAATGGTGGTGACTCAAACCTTTGTGAACTGTCAGACATGAAGTAATATCTGTATGAATGATAGATATTTATAATATATATACACTATACAAATTTATAATATATAAAAATATAAACGCTCTGGAGCTTCTTAGAGCATCACACCAGGCAGGCACAGGAGACTAGGGCATGGAAAGTGTAGGGGCTCAAGTGGCCTCCCCCAGATGCCGCAGCCTGGGAAATTCAAAGTGCTTTGGCTTAAAGAGATGTGGTAAGAAGACATTTCTGCTGTTGGCCTCAGGGAAGCTGTCCTGTCTGCCCTACAAGCTCACTCTTCCTTCAGGACCTCTCTGTCCACCGCAGCTGGGGGAAGCCAAGGATGTGAGTACTCAGTAGGGAGCTGTTGCTAGCTACTAACTTTATCTGGGCTGACTCGGGCTAATATGACTTCAGATAAGCCACTTCAAGTTTCCAGGCTCTCTTCACTGTCACTAGTTGGGGTTCGTTTGTGTCACTAGCTAGCATGGATGGGACTTTACTATTGGATGAGGCATTTTTCTTTAACTTTCAATACCCTAGGGAGGTAGGTGCCGTAATTATCATCTCCGTCATGCAGATGAGGGATCTAAGCCAGATGACTTGAGGAAATTACCAGATTCATAGCTAATCACTGCAGATAAATCCAGCCAGGTTGGCTTCATAGCTCACACTTTTACCCGCTATTATATTCTACATCTAGTTAGGCCCAAACTAAAAAGGAACACAGAGTCCGATATCTGTGATGTCTTTGTTCAGGGGTAGGAATTGAACCCAGGGCCTCACCCATGCTAGGAAAGTGGGCTACCACAGAGCTATGTCCCTGTCCCTGTTTTCCCTTTTTATTTTGAGGTAGGGCCTCCCTAACTTGTCTAGGCTGTCCTTGAATTTGTGGTTCTCCTGCCTCATCCTCCAAAACAGCTTAAATTACAGGCCTGTACGCTCTATTTTTTAATTTAAATTTTGAAAAATTTTACTTTATGTGTATGAGTGCTTTGCCTGCAGGCATGTGCACCACATGTGTGCAGTGCCCTTGAAAGCCTGATCACATTTCCCAAAACTGGAGTTACAGCTAGTTTTGAGCTGCCATGTAGGTTCTAGGAAATGGGTCATTTGGAAGAGCAGCCAGTGCTCTTACCTGCTGAACCCTCTGTGCTCTCTATTTTTTTTTAAATCAGTTAATTTACTTAAGAGCTGAGGAGACTTTGAAGGCCGTGTAGATCTTTGAATCCTGAGCTATGTAAGTGTGTCCAGTGAATTCTAGTTGTAGAGTGTAGCTGTAGAGTCTCAGCCAACAGATAATTCCTGCAAGAATGAAAGGCATGGCCTGCATGGGGTTATAGAAACTAGACAAACATCAGGCATCTCTCTTTATGGAGTTATTCTTGTACAAGGCACTCTTTGGAATGAGCCCCCCTCTTTCAATGTGGTCCCCTTGTCCCATGGTCACATCTCCAGCCTGGATGCTCACTCATAGCCAACCTCTTGGGTGTGGCTGGCTGCTGAGTCCAACAACATGTCTTTGATGCAGCTGTGTTCAGCATGTGTCCAAATTAAGATAGCAAGAGAAATGTCTTATTTCCAAGCTTAGGAATCCTGGCCTTCTGGAGTCCACTGGAAAGGCCATCAGGAGAGCTGGCTGGTCTAAAAGGGGCAGCAGACTCTGGTCTTGGGGTCTCACTTCTAAGCAGTGTGAATGTGAGCAAGTCATTTATTTTGAGCTCACTTTCCTCATCTGAGAAGTGGAATATTTCTAGGGATTTTATAAAACAAATGAAACAGGACCTGTTACAGCACACTGAACTTCAACCAAGTGTGCTTTTGGGTTGTGACTTAATTTGAGAAACAGAGGCTTCAGGTGGTAGGGCATCCTCCGTTACAGCAGAGGAATGAAGGTGCATCTGGGAAATTCTGCTTCTAGGTCATTCCCTAGGCAGCCACATAAGCCCCAGAGCATCTTTCCAGAGACTGAATATCTGGTTTGGTCCTTTCTTCCTAATGGGCCTGAAGCTTTGCCCAGGGTTATATAGTCAGTGTGATTTTACCAGCACCTCTTCCCCACCTGGCAGCCATTTCCCCATGGTCTGGAAATAGAGAACCCATGCCTGAGGACCTCAGGGACTCCAGGAAGGAAATTCTTAGAAACAGCCTGGAAGTCTTCTGGGTAGCACTTGCTTCCAACCTGGACCGGATTAGTTTTTCAAAAGCCATTCGCCTGTAGCCAGAAAGTTACCATGGCATTCCCTTGTCAGGGTCCAGAGGATGAAACCACTTTCATGTATGTCACGTGAGGTTGAGAGCTGACACTTCCGCAGCCATCAAGGAAAGCAGGCAGTGTGATACCATCGGACGAGAGCAATGTGAAGGAAGGACGGTCCCTGTGAGTCAGTAAACTGTGATGGCCTGCTCCTGGATGCTCCCGAATGGAGCTTCTAACTAACAGATCCAGCAAAGAACTTGGGAGGGAGGAACGCTAGAGTTGAACCTCTCCTTGGCTTTGCATACAAACAAAGCCTTCATTTCTCAGCAACTTGGTTCTAAATAATACATCCTTTGAGAATGAAAAAAAAATTCCTAAAAGTGAAAACAGACATAGTAGAAGGAGCACAATGTAAGCAATCTAAATATTATCGCAATAGGATCTGCAAACCATGGGTAAACAGTCCTTTCCACGGGCAGACTTGTAAGACAGGTGTTTTTCTTTAATAAGCAGTAAGAGACAGCGTGAAACATACCGTCCAGCAGAGTGTCGAAGTGTATAATTTGCAGGTACTCCTTCTCCCGCATAAAACCTTTGAGAGGAGTGGCCCAGCCTTCACTCAGAACCTGCACCCACTGCAGATCCAGCTGGAAAACGGAACAAGAGAATGTGTCCATCACCTCTCCTCCTCAGGCCCAGGGTGTGACTCCCTATTCAACTGGCAGGATGAGGAGGGAAGAGCCTTCTATGTTTCAAGTGTTCCCACTTAAAACTCTATGGACTTCTGATTCAAGGGCCAGCTATGTGTAAGTCTAGAACGTTCTTATAAAAGAGTGATCACAGGATTCCAAATTGAGATTATTTAAATACTTTCAGCTGTAATGTTCTTATAATGTGCAACAGAATTAAAAATTCACTGTTGCCCCCCCCCCCCCGCCCACACACACAAAATGAAGGTTTGATTGTGCTTTTTCATAAGATGTACTTACTGGCCATTTGACTAAATTGAGCAAGCCATTAACTCTATGGTAAAGGACAAAGTTATTATCATGGTATGAAAACCTTTTAAGCTGTGGCTCCTGGGACTCAAGGGGAGGACTTCCATCTCCTTTCCTCCCCCAGTTAGGATCAACATGCCAACACCACAAGGCAATGTGTAGTCGGAACCCACAGGCACTTTCAGTTGATTGGAGGATGCGGGCTATGTTCCACCCATCGTCTTGGCTACCTGCAAAGCTCTATTGATCTTTAAAACTCAAGACATAGCTCCCTGCTCTGAAACCTTTCCTTTCATCCCTGTGACCTGAGGAGTCATTCCTTAGGTCCTGAAGTTCTCTGCCCTGCAGACAGTTTTGTTGTTGAACTATCACCCTGTGTTGCTTTGACATGCTTACTTGTCTGACTACAATACTGGGGTGCTTGGGTTCATTTTGCAGAGCCAAGGAACTCTGTTTATAAATCATTTGTGGGGTCCTAATTAGCTGAAGCAAGTACCCTATTAACCTTTCTCATAAACTCTCCAAATTTCTAATGAATAATAAAAAGATAGCAAGAGAGACTTGATCATCTTGTATGCACAAGTAAAACTGATCCATAAAAATGCTACAAGCAGGCTGTGGCTGGGATTGCATATGACTCCTTCCAACTAATGAGATCAATGCAGGTGAAGTTGCCACCCCCTTTCCTCAGGTTGGAGTCTCCTGATGTGGAAAGGACACAGTCTGCAGAGGAAGCTTCTGGAAGAACTTGTTCTTGGTTATCTTGTATCATATATTCTCCACACTTGACCCTGATCTCCCATATGGCTGTGCATTTCATATCTGGGGGTCTGAGGAGATATTTGTTGGTGACAGTTTTTATCTAAGAGGATATGCACAGAACACCTTGTGGGCATGAGTTGATTGTGAGTTATAAACTCTCCCCAAAGACTTATCTTTGACCTGTTGGCTATTTTATTCTTGCATGTGGTAGCTGTCATTTTGCAGAGATGGCAGTCAGTTCTAGCCACAAGAGCATATTCTTCCTGGTGATAACTATATGTCTAGAGTAGCTTGCAGCTAGGGCTAGTACTACTTCCCCAGGTTTCATGGGCTTGCACATATCAACAGAACCAGCAGACACACAGCAGAAAAGCTCATAGTGTTTTAGATCAGGGTTGCTTTTTGCGGGGTTCCCCCCACATACACCCCACCACATTCTTCACAATCGCCCAAGAACCATTCACATTCTGGATAAACTTTTCAGCCATTGCTAACAAACCATCCTTGGCATCCTGCCTCTATTTCAGCATATAGAGGTGTGGGTGTGCCATGCAAATTGTCCTGTGCAGACATGGCTGCTGCTTTCTCAGCCAGCTTCTCGACCTGGCCTTTGTTTGCTCAGAGAGGAGGTGAGAGGATGAGGAATGTCTTCATAGACTCACCTTAAGTGGATATTTCTTATGGTCAAAAGAAATTGTGGGGCCTGCAAGATGACTCAGCAGGTAAAAGTGCTTGCCATCAAGCTTGATAACTTGAATTCAATCCCCGAACATGGTGGAAGGAAGGAGAAAACTGACTCTTCCCCTGCATGTTGTCCTCCGACCTCACTCATGCAGCCTGTCACACACACACACACACACACACACACACACACACACACACACACACACAC